CCTGACAATTGAGTTAGATGAAATTGTAAAACATTTAGAATCGCGAAAGACACAAAGCAAACACTTAATACAAGTAAATTGTAATTGTTTCCATTTCATAGATGAAGAAACTGAGGTTACAGTGGCACTCTTTAATATGTTATCCATGAGCCACCAGGGCCTATTTTGTACTTGGAATGTGGCAAGCCAAACTGAGATGTTATGTAAGTACAAATTACAGACTAGATGAAAGACTTAGTTGGGAAAGAATGGTTTAAAATGTCTCTTCAAAAATGTTTATATTGACTACATATTGACATAATATTTTAGATATAGTAGGCTAAATAAAACTTAACATGGGTTTTACCACTCAGTTTATTTTATTTTTTTTTTTTTTAAAGATTTTATTTATTTATTTGACAGAGAGATCACAAGCAGGCAGAGAGGCAGGCAGAGAGAGAGGAGGAAGCAGGCTCCCCTAGACAGCAGAGAGCCCGATGCGGGGCTCGATCCCAGGACTCTGAGATCATGACCTGAGCCGAAGGCAGCGGCTTAACCCACTGAGCCACCCAGGTGCCCCTACCACTCAGTTTTACTTAGAATATCTAAAACTACATAATGACACGTGGTTAGAGATATGCACTGGAAACTTTCTGAAGATCACATAGCTATGGCGTTAATATTGTTCCAATTACTTAAATGTGAGTCTTTGGACCTAACCGCATAATCTTGCTACCTTAGAAAACAATTTTAAAATATTTTTTGTTGAAAACATTTAAGTCATCCAACCTGATCATTTTCAATGTATTAAAAAAAATCTAGTTTTGATACTACACTTGATCTTAGCCAAAAGGCTGAGAAGCAAATGTAATGGTCTGAAGGGGCACGTGCACCCGAATGTTTATAGCACCAGTGTCCACAATTGCCAAACTATGGAAAGAACCTAGATGTCCAACAACTGATGAATGGATACAGAAGATGTGGTATATATACACAATGAAATACTATCCAGCCATCAAAAGAAATGAAACCTTGCCATTTGTAACAACGTGGATGGAGCTAGAGGGTATTATGCTGAGCAAAATAAGTCAATCAGAGAAAGACAGTTATCAATGCTCTCCCTGATATGAATAATTTGAAAGGCAAAGTGGGGAGTTTGAGGGGTAGGGAAGGAAAAAATGAAACAAGATGGGATAGGGAGGGAGACAAACCATATGAGACTCTTAATCTCACAAAACAAACTGAGGGTTGCTGGGAGAGAGGGTCCGGAGAAGGTGGTGGGGTTATGGACATTGGGGAGGGTATGTGCTATGGTGAGTGCTGTGAAGTGTGTAAGTCTGACTATGCACAGACCTGTAACCCTGGGGCAAATAATACCTTATATGTTAATTTTTAAAACAGAAAAAAAAATCTCTAGTTTATGAACACTACACTACAGAAACTCACTGTGGAGAGACTTTGATTTCCTTTAATGTTGTGGAATAAATATTTGAACTTCCCTCTGGTATAAATACTTAGAAATACTGGATACATTTAAGTAAAACCTTTTTTAATTTCCAGAAGCCAAGATGTAAAAGGTAAATGAAATCCATAGGAATATGTGCCACAAGTCACATTGTTTGCTTACACTAACAATATTAGCAATGCAGAAACTGTGGTTCATATTAATTACACAAGACTCATGTCCCCACACTCATTTCAGAAATATAGGAAAGATGTTGAAGATATTAGAACTGAGCTCCCATGTAGAACCAAAATGATGAATGGATACAATTCAGAAAAATTAAGGGAAGAAAAGTTATCTTTTTCTCAGGAAAAAATGACAAAGGTTTTGGTAATAATATACCCAGAAATCATTCTTGACTTTTTTCGTCCTTCTTTCATCCCCATTTCTCCTGTTTTCTGGCAATTTTGAAATAATATATAACCTGTGAGAAAAAAGAGACCCACAGGGGCAAAGCAAAGTACAGTTTAAACACTGAATAGAGAGGGTTTCTTCCCTACATATTTAGAAGTTTTGGAATAAGACTCAAATAGACTTCATATTTTGTAGTAAAACATGCTATAATTAAAACCTATGCAATTAATCAAAATGTTATAAGAGGGAATTCTATAGCCATAAACACCAACATTAAGAAACCAGTATTTCTAATAAACAATTTCAGTTATCACCTCAAGAAACTAGAAACAGAACAAACTAAGCCCAAGGTGACAAAAGAAAGAAAAAAAGAAAGAAAGAGCAAAGATCATAGCAGAAATAAATGAAATGGAGATGAAGAGTGCAGAAATGATCAATGAAACTAAGCTGTTTTTGTAAAAGATAAACAGAATTTAAAAACTTTTAGCTAGACTATGAAGAACATGAGAGGAGTCTCACGTGAATGAAATCAGAGATGAGAGATGAGACATTACTACTGATACCATAGAAACAAAAAATCATGAGAGTTTTCTACAGATTATTATAGACCAACAAGCTGGATAACCTAGAAGAAAAGGATAGATTCCCTAAAACATAAAACTTAGAAAGATTGAATCGGGAGGAAATAGAAAATTTGAACAGACCAATGATGAGTAAGGACGTTGAATCAGTAATCCATCATTGCACATAGAAAAGCCCAGATCAGACGCGATGGTGAACTCTGCCAAATATTTAAAAAAGAATTAATGCCAACCCTTCTCAAACTCTTTCAAAAGCTTGAAGAGGAATGAACACCTCCAGACTCACTTTACAAGGCCAACATAACCCTAATACCAAACCTAGATTAATACACTACAAGAAAAGAAACTATAGACCAATAATCCTGATAAACACGGATGAAAAAATTCTTGATAAAATATTAGCACACTGAACACACAAAGCAGGAACAGTATATTAAAAAAAGCATACATCAAGATTCAGTGGGATTTATCCCTGGGATGAAAGAATAAGTCAATATATGTAAATTAATAACTGTGATACAACATATTAATATAATATATTATAATTAATAATTAATATTATATATAATACTATATAATATTAATAATATTATAATTAATATAATAAAAGACAAAATCATCTCAGTAGAGGCAGAAAAAGCATTTGACAAAATATATCATCCTTTCATCATAAAAACTCTCAACATATTGAGTACAAAAGAAACATACCTCAACATAATAAAGGCCATATATGACAAACCCATGGCCAATATTATATTCAACTGCAAAAGTTTGAGTTTTTCTTCTAAGATCAGGAATAAGACAAGTGTGCCCATTCTCCTTACTTTTATTCTACATAATTGGAAATCCTAGACAAAGCAATCAGACAAGAATAGGCCCAAAGGGCATCCTAATAAGAATTGATGAAGTAAAATTGTCTTTGTTGGCAGATATTATCTTATATAGAGAATATCCTGACGATGACACAAAAACAAAAGAAACAAACAAACAGAAAAAAACCAGCTAGAATTAATCAATAAATTCAATAAAGTTACAGGATATAAATCAACATGCAGAGAACAGTTACATTTCTATACACTAAAAGCAAAACATCTGAAAAAGAAATAAGGACATCAATCCATTTACAATAGCATAGAAACAATAAAATACTTAAAAATAAATTTAACTGTGCGTTAGCTAATGTTATGGCGGTAATCATTTTGAAATATGTGAAATATCAAGTCAACATGTTGTGCACCTCAAATTTACACAAAGCTATGAGTCCACTCTACCTCAATAAAGCCGACAGGAGCAGGAGAGAAGCTCTAATTGAGAAAATTAGTGATTGCTGAGAAGCAGTTGCTGACAAACACCGGAAAATCTCCAGAGCAACAGAGGAAACAGAGTATCTACCTTGTGGTAGCTGGTGAGAGTTGAAAGCCTGGTTTGTGAAGGAAGGCAATGTGATAGAGGATCTTAAGCTCACTGATGATCTTGCAGAAAGCAAATAGAACTGATAAATGAGATATTCTTAGTGTAAATTTAAAGATTAGAGAGAACCCCTGAAACCTTTAAACCTCACGCTTTATGAAAGCAACAGGCATTGAAAAGTGATCCCAGTGAAATTGAAGACAGAGAGATGAGTAGTTCAAAGCATGTGCCTTGAAGTCAGCCTGCAAGGATTTCAAATCTTCACTTACAGTGACTTTAGCAAGCTGCTTAATCTCTCTTGAACTCAATGTAGTCATCTATAACGAGGGCTCACAATAGCGCCCACTACGTAGGGTTTGTGTGGTATTATCTATTTTACAATTGAAGTATAACTAACATACAGTGTTATATTAGTTTCTGTAATAGTTTTTAATCGTTTTTAAACAGTGTTTGAACTTCAAATGGAGTATGTGTCTGTTAAATAAAACAAGTGCATTCCCCATGGCTAATTCCACATTGCAGGCAGATGATGACTATTTTGATCATTCCCTTTGAAATGTGAACAGAATATCTCTAGGGACATGCAATCCATTTATATCCATATCCTTCCTGATGTTATATACTACGGCCCTCCAGCTCTCTCTTGGTGTAAGCACTTACAAAGATGCGATCTACTTTCTTCGGAGCAGACAGAAACAAATGTATCTTGGAGTTTTTGCAATTGAGTTGAGACTGGAGCAGTAATTGGCAGATAGAAGAGAAAGATGGAATCACAGGTTGTATGAAGAGACAGACTGAACAGCATTCAAAAGATGAAGAGTAACTACTTTTTACAAATACTCTGAAAGATTAATAGACATCTGGAAAGTCAAAATTTATCATAATTGCTAGCTGCTTGAGAAAAGACAAAATCTATTTAGGATCACTTTTTCCTTCATCTACGCTCAGTGTTTTTCTAGGTAGAAATAAAACAAGATTCTTAAATGTGGAGAGGTACTTGGATAACAGATGTGAACAACAATAAATGTGACTTTTTAATTTAAAGAATTCTGTATTACATACATACACCACTTTTGCTCGGATTGATCCTATATGAGAAAACAAGTTGTATGAAAGTTACCTAGCAAATGGACACCAGCGTTGACTCATAGAGAAAATACCTCACATCATCCATGCTTGCTTTTCCACCTTTTGGCACCAATTCCTCAACATTTCTCCTAGCAGGCTTCCCTGGCCTGGAACAGGAATACCCTTGGCTCTCCATCCCTTTCTCCTGTATCTATGCTATGGTACTCTCAGGGAACTGCCTGGTGCTGCACGTGATTTGGACAGAGCAGAGCCTGCATCAGCCCATGTTCTACTTCCTGGCCATGCTGGCCTTCACTGACCTATGCATGGGGCTGTCCACAGTGCGGACAGTGCTGGGGATCTTGTGGGGACTCAGTCAGGAAGTCAGCCTGGATGCCTGCATTGCCCAAACTTACTTCATTCATGGTCTGTCTCTCACAGAGTCTGGAGTCCTTCTGGCCATGGCTTTTGATCGCTTTACAACAATCTGTAATCTTCTGAGGTATACGTCCATACTAACCAGTGCCAGAATCATTAAGATTGGGCTGGGAATTTTGGTTAGGAGTTTTGCATTCATCCTTGCTCCCATAATCCGCCTCAAGTTTTTCCACTATTGCCGTTCCCACATCCTCTCCCACTCTTTCTGCCTGCACCAGGACCTGCTTCGGCTCGCCTGCTCTGACATCCGCTTCAACAGCTTCTATGCCCTGGCTCTGGTGATCTGCACACTGTTTTTGGATGCAGTGCTCATTCTGGTCTCCTACATCTTGATCCTGCACTCAGTATTGACTATTGCATCCCAGGAGGAGCGATTCAAGTCCTTGCAGACCTGTGTCTCCCACATCTGTGCAGTTCTAGTTTTCTATATCCCAATCATTGGTCTGACTATGGTGCACCGTTTTGGTAAACACCTCTCTCCTGTGGTCCATGTCCTCATGGGCAACACCTACATCATCTTCCCACCCCTGATGACCCTATCATCTACAGTGTGAAGACCCAACAGATCCGTGGCAGGATTCAGAAGTGGTTCTCCATGAAGAGGGAGTGAAGCACTTTAGATTACAGAGACGCAAGTGGTTTACATGTAGAAAATTTCAGGCGGGGAGAGGGGAGGAATATATTTATTTAATAAAGTTAAAAATAAGGCAATTAAAAACTAAGACTTATAGGATATGCCATTACTTGAAGGATTTGTAAGTATCAAAAATGGTAATCAAGGGGCACCTGGGTGGCTCAGTGGGTTAAAGCCTCTGCCTTCAGCTCAGGTCATGATCCCAGGGTCCTGGGATCAAGCTCCGTATCGGGCTCTCTGCTCATCATGAAGCCTGCTTCCCTTCCTGTATCTGTCTGCCTGCCTCTCTGCCTACTTGTGATCTCTATCTATCAAATAAATAAATAAAATCTTTAAAAAAAATGGTAATCAATAGTAATCAAACCCAAGTTTGAAGCTCTGATAGTAGAGTCATTCGTCACATTTCATGATCATTTCTGAATATAAAAAGTAATATTCACAATTGTCCAGAGAAGTTTAACTTGAAAAGAATATCTACAAAGAAGCCATCCAAACACACAGTGTACATTCATCCCTGAAGGTACAATTTTATCACCACTTTCTATGGTTGCATTGATCAATGTAGACATTACAGTGGGTTTCTAACGTTAAGTGATGTTTTCAGACTGGTTCGTAGTTTGATGCAGAGTCAAAAAGGCATCATCACCCTTGTCTTCACATTAATTTGTCAACAGACAACTCTGTTTCCTGCTTCTCAGAAGAACTTCTATCACTTTTTTTACGTATCTCTAAATAACTACCAACCTGACAATCTTAATTTGAGTCTTACAGAAATTCATATCCTTTACTGTGTAGAATAAATGTTTCACTGATCTGCTTTATAGGACTTTCTTTTATCTTTTCTGAATTTGATAAATATCAGCAAGGCAAAAACTTTTCTTTTTTTGTAGGGGCCTTTCCTACTGATGGCAAAACCATGTTTACTTAATAATTAATGTGAGGTCAGATAACTAGCCACTTGGGAAAGTAATAAAACTTAGTCTGTACTGGTAACTATGTAAAATTGTCATTCATGAGGATCTTTAAGAGAGAGGATACTGTTATCTTTTTTAATCTGTAGCAACAACTTATCTTCATCATTCTCATCCTATTCACCAAATTAGGAAAAATACTCCTACATATGGGCTAGATAGAGCTGATCTTCACTACTTTGTGGAACTCTGTCCATAAGCTTCTGAGAGCAAACTTGATAAGTATTTCATCTCCTTATAAGCTTCCTTTGGAGTCCTTATATTTTGGGAACTCAAGATTTGAGCAAGAATGGTGCAGTGGATTGAAAATAAAAATAACTTCCAATCTTCAAAGGTAATATGGCATTGGGTTTACAATATCACATTTGCCCTTTTTCCTACTTCCTGTTAAAATACATCTAAATGTGTATCAAATGTAGATTTCACAACAACTCAAAAATAAGGAAAAATAGTTAAATGATTAAAAGCTTGTAAGTAATTTCCATAATGTAAATGAGACTACATTGTAAACGAATCCGGTTTAAAACATATAATGGATTATTCATGCCTCTTTGTGAACTGAAAAGAATCACCAATCTGAATCTATTTAAGAAGTGATTTTTTCCCATTCAACTTATAATCAAAGAGATGGAGTTTAAAACAGCAATGATTATGTAAAAAAACAAACAGATTTTTCATAGGGTTTTGTCCTAATTTTCTTTAAAGTATGGAAAAAGTCAAGAACTTTCACTATATGTTGATAATTTAATGTTATTTCTTTATTAGTCAATGAGATGAATTTAAAAATTAATTAAAATGTTCATATGAGATGGAAGAAAACAATGTTCATAGTGACTTCAAACTGACTCTAAATTTAATATTCAGTAATATCTTTTCTAACAATTTGTTAAAATTATAAGTGTTAGGGGTGTCTGGGTGTCTCCGTGTCTCAGGCAGTTGAGTGTCCGCCTCTTTCCACTCAGGTCATGATCTCTGGGTTTTGGGGTCAGGCTCCCTGCTCAAGATTCTCCCTTCTGCTCTCTGCCCCTCCCCCACCCCAGGGCGCAAGTGGGTGGGTGTCCCTTCTCTCTGTTCTCACTCACTCTCTCTCTAAAAAAAAAAAAAAGGAAAATAAAAAAAAAAAATCATTAAAACTCAGGTAGTGGTTGTAAGGGCATATACCTGAAATAGAAATATATTCCTACTGTACATAACTGTATCTGTTCTCCTAAAACATTTCCATAGTTTCACTGACTAAACAAATAACAATATTTTTAACTTCACAAAATTTTTATAGTTTCTTAGAAAAGATTAAAAAAAAGAGAAATAAAAGAATTTAAAAACTACATTTCCAGGGGTGTTTGAGTGGCTCAATTGGTTAAATCTCCAACTCGTCATTTTAGCCCAGGTCATGATCTCAGGGTCCTGGATTGAGCCCTACATTAGACTCCCCTCTAAGTGGAGAGTCTGCTTGAAGATTCTTTCTTTCTCTTCCTCTGCCCCTTTGCCAGCTTTAGAGAGAGACGCTCTAAAATAAATAAATAAATCTTTAAAAAAGTACATTTCAAGTAAAGCTTGGGAGTAGTTTCTAAAATTAATAAAATACATATAAACCAACAATATTTTGTACAATAAGATATAAGAAAAAGGAACACCCACACCCACACATCTCAATATAACAGAATCTTAAGTACAGAACTAACAGTAGGTATATAGAAAAAATGAATACATTTAATGAATTTTTAGGGTCACTTAAATTCTTTCAGAAAATAGGGATTATTTAATAATCATTTAGCAATTTTAGAGATAAATATATGCCTAATTTCTTTTTATTTCAAGTTTTTATTTAAATTTCAGTTAGCTAACATACAGTGCAACTTGAATTTCAGGTGTAGAATTTAGTGATTCATTACCCACATACAAACTGGGTGCTCACCACACTATGCCCATCACCTATTTACTTCATCCCCCTGCCCTATACCTAATTTCTTAACACAAATACAGTTGTTACAATATTCCAAAATTATTTATATTTATACCAATATCATACATATAAAACTAAAACTGTAAACTTAAGGAAAAACTGTTCTTTTAAAAAACATTTTTAAATAAGCTATTGGTTCCAGATATGGACAGAAAATGAGTTCATAAAATGAAAATCAGTAATTTGATACAAACACACATACACATATAGAGATACATAAAAACAGTAAGAAATATCAAACTCTTAAGCATTTGTAATTCAACACATGACAAAATTAGTTTACTCAGGCAAAATATATTGCAAATCAATATGATAAAAAAACTTTATAAACCAATAAAAACAATATAGAATTTAAATTGTCAGTATGCCTGGGATGCTTAGTTGTTAAGCATCTGCCTTAGATTCAGGTATGATCCCAGGGTCCTGGGATTAAGCCCTGCATCAGGCTCCCTGCTTGGTGAGGAGTCTGCTTCTCTCTCTCGCTGTGACTCTCTCTATCAGATAAATAAATAAAATTTAAAAAAAGAAATTAAAATAGTCAATAAATATTAAAATATGTTCAATCTCATTTAAAATTAAATAATCACAAAATTTAGAATAAGAGGTCAAATACAACTTTGTATTTGGTATACAACTGGAAAAATAAAACATGGTTACCAGAATCCAGTGCTGCTGAGGTTGTTAAGATACAGAGAACTGCATATGCTTTAATATGAATGTAAGTTAGCAAAAGATTTTGAGGGATATATATCACACATATGAACAGTGAAATCTCTTATTTAGGTTAGATGGGGAGTTGTTAGAATGTATACTGTCCTGTAATTTGTATACCTTTGGAGGTCATTAGCTAATATTTATTAATGTTATAACAATAGTCAAGATGTACTCTTTATCTTAAAAGTTGCATATTAAATATTTCCCAAAACTTTAACTAAATATTTGAATTAAATAAACTCTAAAGCTCACTTTTTGTTTTCTTGGAGTTGTTCAATATTTCCATGATGACAAAACAGAAGAACAGAAAAAAAATCAGAATAAGGCTTTAGGACATTACAGAAACACTTTTAAACATCACTAAATCTTGGCTGAATGAATTTAAGATTAAACATTCTCCATAGGATATCTCAAGAAAGTGAGCTTAACTTTAAGTTTAGGAGATAATTTGTGGAGAGATGACCAAACTTTTCTCTCTGAGCTCTAAAGTATCTAACACCGTAACTTTGGCAAATGGACACTGGTGAAAGGAATAGCTTTAAAAATAGAGACAAGATTTTCTGTCATGGTAAACACCACAGAGTATTTAGATTAGCTCACAGGCCTTTTGAGGCAAACTTTAATCCTTGTTTTCATTAGCTAAAGTTATGTCTCCATGTGAACTCTTTGGAGCAAGCTGGTTGTGGTCTAAATTACTGTGAAGAAAAATTCTAGCTCCTTGAGGCTGGCAACATAACCTAGTAGAATTACATGATAACTTATGTGAAACCAAACTCAGATTTAATATTATGATCAAGACCAACTTCTTTCAGTTAGAGTCACAATTGTCACAGAACATCTTATTTCCTAAAACCACGTATCATTTATTCAAAATGATGTTAGTACTATGGGCATAAAATTAGGCTATCACTTTTATTTCATAATAAAAATTCTTTATCTATCTATCTACCTATTTATTATATTTCAAATAATCAGTAGAAGTAGAAAAGGAATATTTGGAGGATGATGAAAGCAGAGATCAAGAAGACAAAAAAAAAAAAAAAATCCATATGACAGTGGTTCCCAACCTGTGGGGTTCTGATTCCTGGAGAGCCATGGACTTACTGTAAACAATGTATAAGTTCAAGCATTTACCAAGCATCTTTTGTAGATTACTCAAATAAAATTTTACATGTGTATATGTGTTTTTCAGATTATATAAATTCTATGATTAATAATGTGCAATTAATTCAATATTACTTTGTGACAACTATATTTTTCATAATGCATTTT